CTCTTTAGTGCATCAAATTTTGACGATATATTTGTGTGATCAGTGCTGAAGTTAACACTTTATGAACCAAATTACAAGGAAAGGAAGTCCACTGACCTATACGTTAGACAAATTCCGGGTTCGGAAGTGCAATGATTTTTTGTACTGTCTTCCCTTGCCAGATTTGTACAGGTCTGCACGAAATATATTCATATGCGATATTGACCGAGCGTGAGGTCAAGATGGCTAGATATTGGCTGAGTTCTTTTGTTGCGTTTTCATGGACCGAGACAAAGTCGAGGTCCATAAAAACTTAGAAAAAGACCGAGGTTAATATCTAGCCGTCTTGACCCAATAAACTTGGTCAAGAGAGAACATAAATTCCACGGTCGATCTAGAGTTTTATTTCATTTTTTGTCTTCATCTCTCCTAACGGCCGTGAGGGGAGAAGATGAATAGATAAAAAAGATACATTAAAAAAGAAAGCTCAATAGTTTCCACATATAATCATATGGTACATGAACTGATTACCGAGGTGGAGTGAAGCCATTGAGGGCTAGAAATGCAATCCCAGGTTCAAAATTGAATAAATCAAGATAGTCATTCTTACAGATGAACTCAAAGGCTTCATTAAAATAAAGTGTCACTGAATAACCTTTATGGGCAAAATTTTAAGCGACCCTTGTGATATTAATACTTTTGTTTTGGATTAACAAGTGACACAGCGAAATCACTGAACCTGTTCTAAAATTGTGAAACACTACCGACGACTTTAACACCAACAATAATATCAACGATAGCGGGCTAGTTTACTATCAATTGTAGTCAATTTTTTTCTCAAAGAATCCTAATGATTACGTATCAACCTAGTCTACCCACTTGAACTTCCAGCCAATCATTGGCCCACACTGGACTGGAAATTATTTTCCTCAACTCAATCGATAAACCGCTGAGAGACAGATCATGCGATTACCGTGCTTGTCATTGAGTTCAGTCGGCGATGACATGCTCCAGATTTTTGTTAAACGTCTGTTTTGTGATTGGCAATCTGAGTGGGCGATTTGTGAAGATGTGCTCGTCAGCAGCTTCTTTGCAATAATGCCTATTCAATGTAAGTCACTCAGTGTATAATTTGATGCAGACCCATGTAATACCTTACTCGTTGGTCGGATTTGTGCATGCATTTCAAGTTCGGATTTATACATGCATATCAAGATCAAGAGAACATAAATGTCCCAATTATGTTCCCTTGGAAGGAAAAATGATTTGTCCATACTGATATACTCACGAAGATATTCGAGATTTTGAGAGTAATAACTCTATTAAGTGCTGTCACGAGGTCCGAATTGGGAGACAAAATGTGCATGCTAATAAGGTCTATTCCGGCAAAGAAAAAAAAAAAGGAATACCGTACCCGAATCTGCAAAAAGTCAGTGGACTCCTTTGTCCAAGTTTGTAATTTGGATCGCTATGACGAAGGGCTAACGCTCGAAACGTCAGCCTTTTAACTCTTTATGGTGGCTAATTTACGTTTTAAACTCATTTGTTAACAATTAATTACCTCTTATACTCTCCCACCGACGCAGCACCACGGTTTCTTTAGAAACTTACCCCTTTTGTAATTTGGTTTATGACTTGTATTACGTTATCACATTTTTCCAAAATCTTTTGTACTTAAGAGTCTGAGACAGTGATATATGGAGTGGTATTGGTCACCGTACTCATTGTTTTACCAGCTGTCATTTGATGCCAATTGTTCATCAGAATAACGGTTGCAGCCAATGCTTCTTGACTTAAATCTTGCACATAAGAAGACGCTGATTGATATCTGCGAGCCCGCAATCTTACATGACTATATGACTACTGGTCAGAGGATTTTTTGTTGCAACAGCTGTCACTTTAACATCTCAATGTGGATGTCCGCTGTAACAATACACTGGTAGAGTCATACGATTGCAATGGAGGCTTATTACATTTAGGACTTAATTACATTTAGGACAGTTATTAAATTTAGTCCTTCAACATACCGTTTTGTCAAGTAAAGGAAAAAATTCCTTTATGAAAGCGACTTATACTGGCGAAGCTTCACGCTGGCGTCCAGATTTCGAACAAAGAAGTTGCTGTTAAACCAAAATTTGCCATACATGATGTTAAAAACGAGGTTTCCTTTTATGCAAGTACCAGCTTTACAAAAAGAAAAAACAATCTCTTCGAATCGAAAAATTTTGAAAGCTGTATGTCGATTCGCTGTCTTGTGTGGGGTGTAATTACCGTCAAAAATAAATGTTTAATAATGGTAATTGAACTGAGTGGAGCGAAAGTTGGGCTGAAATCACAAGTATGATTTCAGGCCAAAATTGCACGACACAAGGTTCAATTACCACTTTATTACA